ATACAGATACAGCATTAAAGAACCATACTGTTAAGTTGAATATTTATTTATTCAAACACATAAACATTGATGCAAGGAGTCATCAAAAAGATATGCGACGCATAAATCACTCGATTTGTGTGAGAGCTGGGACACTGCCCTGGTGCCAAACCGAAGCAGGTGGTTTTGTAAGGGGGCCACTCCTTGAGCTTTTGACCTAAAGATCTAATCCACCGGCAGTGGAGCCACGTAAGGAGATGCGATCCCATGGTAGCCAGTGACTAAAAGTTGGTTCATACGCCATTTGTTTCTTCAGGATCCTGGAGCCCATGTGCATCATTGGTTTGGAATCAGGGTTTTTTGATTCTCCTAGTTGGATCCTCTATATCCACAACTTGGTTAAAGCGCCGAACGTTCGCTTTTCGTCCTCTGAATTTCGTAAGCAACAGTAATGCCTCGAGAAGGCAGTGAGTAGGATGCACGTGGCCATGTTAAAGCATTTCGAGAGGGAGAGTTGACTCTCCCCACTCTCAGTCATACCAGGGCATTTGGGGGTGTCAAGTTGAATAACAATAAAATGAATGGAAAAATACAGTTTTCTTGTTCGCTGAAATTATTTCATATATATATGAAGCTTTTTCTTCTTTCAAAATAACATTACCTTTTCATTACTAATTTCAACAAATTTATTCACATAAAAATAAATCAATATCAAATAGCTTTGTACATTGTCTTTCTTTGAATATTTAAGGATGATATTTACATTTGCGTTGATAAATTAAGTTCAGTTTCGCTCATTTGTAATTATTCTATAATTGTAAGTGTGAGGCCCTTTTTTTACGAAACATGTAAGTACATGTTTCCATCAAATCACTCAATGATTATGATTTGAATAATGAAGATCATTACTTATTGTGATACCATCATGAATTTAGTATTAATAGATTACAACAGTGTAAGGTATTTTTATGTCTTGTGATTGAATCGTCATTCAATTTGTTCGATTATATATTCTCATCATAGCTTCTGATTAACACTTTAGAATAGAAATCTGATATGATGCCTAATACTTTTCTTTATTTACATATTTGATCTTTTCTCTCTCAAATACAAAGATTGTAAAACGTATTCTTTATTACCTTTCCACATTTAGCTATGATTATTCACTGCTACAATCTTCTGTGTTGGCTCTCACGTGTTTCCAAATATTTGGAAGTATGGTACGATAGTACCTGTTTCAATAGTTTATTCAGATGAGAGATCACTGATGGAGATTTGTAGTGTATATATTGATAGTTGTAAATTAGAGTGACATGGTTGTTAGTGCAATCACTTATTTGGAAAACCACTGATATAGAAATTAACCTTGAAACTATTTATTTGTCGTAACAGAATTCTAAACATTGAAACTCCTTAGATTGACGATGTAAAGTTTGTTAAAAATCCAGGATACGTGTATAGCAAATAACCACATATTTCAAATACGATACAAAATTCATCTTCCAAATGTAGGATGTTAACACTTTCAACTTAAGTGATAAAAGTCATTCGATTAATTATCGAGATGCATCAGTCTAAACTCATCAAATATAGCTAGGTCACGAGTATCTGTGATCGGTAGCTTTAAGAAAATTTTCACTTATAAGATACCACTGGATACATATTTTATTTTTCGAAGCTTTAACTGTACACATACGGACTTTTACATATATATCATCATCCCGTAGAAAAACACTTTGGTAAAAAACACTACAACCATAAAGAAAATCATTTTAATCACTTAATTGCTGCCCTCCGAATTGAATGATCTTCATTTAAAAGTGTTATGAAAGCCGAGATTCTTCGAAAATCACGAGACTAATGGCCCTTTTAAAACAAGTACGACAATAATATAAATGAATGGAATGGCCGGAAAATGTGGGAGACTGAGAGTACACGTCAAACAGCTTCGGAAATTAGGAAATACAACTTGGCGGTGATCAGAATCAGTGAAACCTAATGGATCCAAGCTGAATGCAGCTAACGATTTCAACTTTGTTCTTACATCCTCAACGCACACAAGTGGAAAAGTGAGATCCTCAAATACAACACAGAGAATCGCATTTGATATAGAAGTTCTGGAAGATGTGGGATCGTACACGCACATGGACAGCATCATCGATGACTAGGGAAGATCGGATGCGAACGGAAAGTCGAGGATTGGCAAAGCAAGGACAGCATTCCTACAATTGAAGAAAATGAAACTCAAAACAACTGTCTGTCAACCAATATCAGTCAGAATCTTCAATACGAACGTCAAAACAGTTCTACTGTATGGAGGGAACTGAAACTTGGAGAACTACCACAATCATCATCATGAGAGAACAGGTATTTATAAACAATTGTGTACACAAGACACTTAATATGCGTTGGTCGGATACCATTAGCAACAACCTACTGTGTGAGAGGACAAACCAGCTTCCATCTGTAGAGGAAATTGGGAAAAGACTCTGGAAGTAGACAGGAGATACATTTCGGAAATCATCAAACTGCATCACGGGGCAAGTGCTAACTTGGAATCCTGAAGGGAAATTGAAACCAGGAAGACTTAGGAACACATTGCGCTGGCAGTAGAATGTATGCATAAAAAATGAATATCATCTGGAAAGGGTATTCAAGGACAGGATTGTTTGTAGAATGCTGGTGGACGGTCTATACTCCTCCACGGGGGGTAATAGATGTAAATTAGCACAGTTTGGAATATGTAATATTTCATTAGTCTCACCGTAAATCCTTGATATTCTTTTACTATTAAAATACAGTAAGACTAATTTGTGTAGGTCTATAAACATGCAGTCGAATAGACATTGAAATGAGATAACTGTCAACTTATACTCATATAAGTGAAAGTGATCAATAATAGGATTGCTAAAAAGCATAATTCACATGATTTCTGGGCCAGAAAAAGTTACAGTTTTGAATAAAATTCTACTAATTAAAGTTCATTTTTATTATTAATTAGTGTTTCTTATATCTCATACACTAATCATTCAAAGTAACCAATAACAAATAAAAATAGTGCTAAACTACAAGCATAGTAACAACTTAGTAATTAAACATCCAATGAGATTAATTTATTTCGTAATAATGAGGGTGTAAAATCATGATCTGTGTTGATCTCATGTTGAAATAACTATAAAAGATTGTATACATATAATAAAAAACTGAAATGTTCACTTATTTTTAACAATATTTTAATTCAAATAATGATGATTATAATATTGTTTCTTACTTTATCAAATATATTTGACTTTAACTGTGCACAACATCAAACGAACTTACTTGCTGATATAGTAAAATCAAGATGTACTCACTGGAAGATTGAACATGGAGCGACTAAGTAAGTTTGTTTGATGTTATTGTTAAGAAACCCATAATAACTAAATATTACAGTATTTTTCGAAATAAAATATTATTATGAATATCATAGTTATATGAATTAGACAATCATATATTAAATACGAAGATTGTTAATTAGTGATGTAAAAGTTATTTCGATCAGGGAAAAAAAATCTTATAGGAAACAATTAAGGATAAAGGAATTAACGGACATTAGTTTCTTCCCGGTTTGATACTTAACAGAAGTTGTCATCCATAACATCAATGATATTTAAGATCACATAATCTGATTGTAATAATTCAAATTCCCATCTCAAATCATAATGCGCAATCTAACGTGATATTTATATCATTAATGGTAATTTCATTGTTTTTCTAACCAGAACTTTCTGGAAACAATTACAGGAACCGTTTCAGTCACCAGATATATATGTTAACTCTACTTTGATACAACTATGTAAAATATAAAAATGAACTCTGCGATGTTCAGTTAATTCACAGGATATTATTTTCAGTGAATTAATTACATAGTATGACTGTTTGAAATTTTAACCATTTACACTGTGTAACACGTTTATAAATCTTATAAGCTATTAATGTTACACATCTTATTGAGTAAATTTTGAGGATCTGATCAATCTATTGGTTTATTGTGTTAGCGTAAATGAATATAACATTTGAACTGTAAGCATACCTTTCAGAAGAATTACTTTTGAAAGCATTGAATGAGGAATCACAATATAAGTATACAGTATACGTTTTGCCAATTTTTTCCCTAAGTTTACCAAAAACTGTTATTCCATCGACTAAAGTTATTAATGTAAATCAATAATCATATAGTGGTCTGCTTATTTCGATTTAAAACTATGCGCTTGAATGTAAATGCTAGTGATACTATTTACTTTCTATCTAGTAGCAATATAAATGGACTGAAAGTTTGAATTTATCACCCAGCTACAAAAAGTCAAAGCCTTTGATCACTGAACTATTAATTCACTTTCATAATTTATAGATGAATTCTAATGTCTTTGCACAATTTATTGATATTTTAAATTTGTCGAATAATTAATAATTAGTAAAAAATGTGTAGTTTATATCATGAACTAATCTTGAATACATAACTGTTGAAATCTAGGGGGGCACGTGATATCAATTTCATTTTAACATTGAACTTAGTAGTGAACATTCGAGAACGCAACAGAAATTAGATACATGATTTTTAGGCCTTGAGGTCAATGGTCAACCTTTAAACCACTGAGTGGATTCGTGAGCTCTCAAAACTGACGTATTTCATACAAAGATGAAACAGCTGTATAAAACTTTACAATCTTCAATGATTGTTTAGTTAGAAATATTCCATGATGTAAATTTAAACAATTAAGTATTTCCACAACTCTCTTATTCTTAAAAATGTCAATAAAAACAGAATTATTTTTGTCCATCAATTATCCTGATAGGTGTTTATCTGAATTAATTTCATTTATTACTTCATATAAAAAGTATAAATTGTAGTGAGATCTGGAATTCGTTTGAGAACATTTTAATTTCTCCAGCTGCTAAATCACAATGTCCTATGAAACCAAAATCATACGATGATTTTGTTTATCAATTATTTGAATTGGAACAACAACAACTACGACAACAGCAAAGTACAATTCAAACTGAAGTAAGTTTAATTATATTCAATAATATCAGGTATTATATATTTCAAAATAATATTTTACGGTTAGACATTAATACTTTTTTCATGAAATAATGATAGTTAATAATTTAGAAATGTATATAAACAATTACCCAACCCTTGTGTTTGACGTTTATCAAAAAAAAAAAATAATGTTTATTAGTAAAGTAAAGATCAAATAAACTATTTCCATTATCAGTACAGAGGTTGTGGAGATTGTTAAGTTTTGATTGAGATCATGAATCGATTGATGTTAGATCACCATTGAAAACCTGGAAACACAAGACGGCCGTTCCGTCTTATTGTGAGACTCAGCACCGCGCATCCACGATCCTGCCCGCAGGATTCGAACAGAGGGTCTTCAATCTCGCGTGCGAACGCTTAACTTACTGAACCCCTGGGCCGGCATCCAGTGGTGTTAATGTCTAACCTCAACCAGTCTACGAAATCGATTGTCCCCACTCGTGTTCTCGTTCACTACAGGTGTAGTAATGAGTTGTTCAGTCTTATGACGAGTATATATGAATTATCAATTGTTACTTTGTAATTTGCATACCGATCCTCGTTTAATTAACTGTCTTATTTCTAGGTAACGGCGATAAGTTTGGACTTGATCGTTTTAAATAAATTGATCATTAGGTAGAAAGTTGATAAAAGAAAATATTTTTGTTATATTTGATTGAGTGAAAGAATTGTAGTTCTGACGTTTCGTGACTTAATGTAGACCACTTCTTCAGAGTAAATAAATAACCGAATTAAATTAACACAATTTTACATATTGCAGAGGATATAACAAAAAAAATTCATTTGTCCTATTATTTTGGTCGAATATTTAGATATAGTAAGCAGCTTGAATTTGTCACAAATAAATTCATGAACTCAGTCAGTCAATAGGTTTTATTTATACAACTTTGATGCATTGATCTCTCTTGATTAACGATGCAAAATGGTGTGATTACAACCAATTTATTTATAAATTCTAGTGAAGAGATTATGTTACTTCTCTGAACTTAGATAATTTGGACAAAAATGTAATCGGTGTAGGGATTTGTGAAGATCGTGGTATTTTCGCAGTTGAATTCACGAGCTGACCTAAGCTGGATCACTAGTGGAAAGCTGGGAGCATTGAACGGCTGTTTCGTTCTAGTTTAAAACTACTCAGCAGTGCGCATCCAGAAATTCTCACCCGAGACTCGAACCCAGGGCTTTCGATCTCGCGCTCGAACACTTAACCTCTAGACCACTGAGCTGCCATCCCACTGTATTAATGTCTAACTTTAGTCGACCCACGATCTTGCCCAACCCTTCACCTATTGTCTTAGGTGGATAACTGTCTCATACCTGACACAGATTGGACTCCACTGATCACGGCTTCTCACTAGAACTCTAGGAAATCTATTTTGAAGCAAGTTTCATACTGGAATGAAACGGCCGTCCAGTGCTGCCAAGTTTTTAATGGTGGTCTACCTTGGATCGACTCATGAATTCAACTATAAAAATATAGTCATCAAATATCTAGGTTTCTTCTCCAGTCTAAATCGTTAAAATCAGTTAAGTATATTTGATATGTGGCTAGCACTTTGATCTTGTACTCACGTTCCCTCCTGTTTGTAATTCGTCAGCTGGACATATGTAGATTCCAGTTTCGATATTCATAGTGGAACGACCTGGATCCAGTTGTCTTTGGATAGCAAATTTTTATTTTGAATTAAAAACTGTACCCTGGATTCCGCTGCTAGTCACATACTAATACCAATAACCTGATAATTCAGCGGATCAGTCACAGGGTTCTACATTAAATGTTTTATTGAATTGACACGGTTAACTTTAAAATCCAGACATAGTATTCTGGTACGTGGTTTATGAATATACACGAGTGGAAGTTGAATAATACAAAACAAATATTAATTTTGAAATAAGATGAGCAAAGATTTTTCTTTCATAAATTCTGTATACTTATCCGACAAATGAAAGAGTTATATGACTGATTTGTAGACACGCACTGAATCCTCAGTAGACCGGATTACCGAAGCCAATTATTGATTAGTTACTATTTACTGAATCAAGCATGTCATGCATGAAATTCAGACTAAATGTGGTTCAGTAAAACAATAACTCAAAAGATCAACGAGTCGAAGAATGTTTTCTTGGTTGATACACTGACACTTAACACTTCGCATTTCGAACACTAATTGTAAACATTGTGCATCAACAGCTGATTCTAAAATGAACGAATAATTGTACAGGGAACTGTTTTACTTTAAACATTATGAGCTACAACTAGTTGTGTCGAACAACAATTGTTTTCAACAAAAAAATTGCGGAAAACTTTATGCATGGCATAGCATTGTTACTTCTTAATGGTACACTTACACCATCGTTTACTTTAACCACGATATACGTATAGACTGTTCAACTGGATCAATCAAAATAAATAAATAGGTTCCAGAGAATTGCTCTTTGGTAAGAACGAATAAACGGTGGTAGTTCCAACACTTCAGCATTGTTGACAAATGTTTTGAATATCAACTTAGAATGACGTGTACAAAATATCATTTATATATAAAATTATATATGTCTTGTAAAAACGTTAGCATCATATTTATGAATGATATAATTTCCAACTTAAATTGTTCATTTCTATTTTTAAGTATTACTTCCATTCTCAAGTGATGGAAGTCATTCGTGGAATGTGTAAACGTCTTGGAATGTGTCGTTCTCTAGAAACTACATTGCCAGGTTGGGCTTACGAAAGTTTTATAATTTACTTTTATTCACTTCATTTTTGTTATTCGTATTTAAGTTTCTTAAATGTCTATGCCAATTATAAATTAGTAAAATTTTGGCTTTGATACTGTAATAGTATCATTCACACGGTAAGTCGGAAGTTTATCATCATCAGTAAAATTCTAAATCTCATAAAATTCAACTATCGTTAAAATATTTCTTTTCTTTTACTGCTTGACCGTGAATGACTACCTATAAAATATTCCATTTCATTAGTGTATATAATTATCAAAACCATTACAAAGACTGCAGGTCATTAAAAATACTTTCTTTCGAAAAATATAATATTTCTATGAATACAAATGTATTCTAGTCTTCGAAAATTATTCAACTTTAAAACTTGCTTCACTTAGAAGAATAATTTTCAAAGAATATAATAATATGAAACACATTACATCTAAGAATACAATACAGTCCATGTACCTAAAGTGTAAAATATAATGAAGTAAAAGGATTGTAGAAAGAATACTTAATAAAATTATTTGCTTTTAATTGTATTCAGCCTAATTGCAAATAGATCCGGCGCTTTAACCGGGTTAGTGAATATAGATGATCCACATAGGGGAGTTCGAATACCCTGATTCCAAACCAATGATGCACATGGGCTCCAGGATCCTAAAGAAACAAATGGCGTACAAGCCAATTGTTGGTCACCGGCTACCAACAGACTGTATCTCCTGACGTTGCTCCACTACCTTGTGAATCAGAACTTTAGGTCGAAGGTTTGGGGAGTGGCTCCCTAGGAAAACCACCTGCTTCGGTCTGAGCACTCGTACAGCATCACAGCCCATACACAAATCAAATGAAGAAGTATCACGCATATCTATTTGTTGGCTCCTTGTACCTATGTTTATATGTTCAAATAAATAAACTAAATGAAGCGTAAATAGCGACTTACCATTTATTATGAAGTCGAAATTGAAAAAAATACTAAAGCAAACTCATCAACATTTAGCAGTTTTAGGTTCAAAATTCCATTTTGGGCTCCATCAGGTGACTTTGTTAATTGATACTGACTCGATTTTGTACATATTTAAATCTTCAAAAGGTGTACCCATTGTGGAGCAATTGTAGATATGATTTATACATGTAGTAAAGAACAAAGTACTCAAGACATTGCCTTATATTACACCACTTGTTACTGGCAGGTTGTCCTATGGGGAGTGTTAATCATAATTAGTCGATTCCAGTTATTGAGAAAATGAATTAGACCGTGCCAATGTGTAATGTGTGATTCCATAAGATATGAGTTTGCTAATAAGATGCTGATAGCTAAAAGCCTCGAAAGTCTTAGAAACCTATGAGTACGGCAATAAAACTAGATTTATGTGACTACGCTCGGTAATGACAAAATTAAGGCGACAAATCATGCAAGATCTTGATCTAGGTGGAGTGTGGTGTTAATTAGCAACACGTTTTTCAGCAGCTGAACGATCAGACATTTCGTCAAGCACACATTTTTATGATTCTAGAAATAGCTGAAGTAATAATCATAGACTTTTAACTGCGTATTTCTGTTTTGTTGCCACATATCAAGCATGGTATAGTATGTTTAATTTCCAGTGAGTTAAGATAGAAATCTATTATCCGAATATCAATTACTCATTATATAACATTATCAATGTGCTGAAAAGACTAATTTAATTCATTTTTGTTTGCGACTAGGATATCTGTTTGATGATTTGAATTGGTGTGATAAAACATTAACAGGTATGACAAACTATGGGACTTCATGTGGATGCGATCGTAAAATTGTTGTTCGGGCTTATTGGGAAAGTGCTTCGGCTGAGGTATGTAAGAAGTAATTCTCTACCTATTAACATAGTGTTATTCTACATACCACAATAGATTTGCATTAAATAGTGCAGCATTAATTAAAAACTATGTCACGTCTAATAAAATAATTTCGTATGAGATTCTTTAATGATCTGATGCTGAAAATCGTCAAATGAGTATTAAGTTTTTTATGATGATTGCACCAAACTATCTTCAGCGTCTCCTTTCTTTTTAATCCGAATGAAACGTTAATCTAATTTTTTGATATCGCGATATGTTTACACATTCGTAATATAGAAAATGTCATATGAATAATTACATGTTATCAAATTGAAAGTGATAGTCAGTAATTGTTAGGGTGTGTTGTTTTTAAATCTAGTTTGGAGCTTGGAAAAGAATTTTCTTTTATAGAAAATATCGTTTTAAGTAAGACTTCGTAAATGAGGCGAATTAATTGCTTACGGATAATTATAACTCGTAAATCATATTCAGTGCAAATCAAACTACTGACATAGAAGCTATGTGTATGTATCAGAAGTAATTAGCCAACAGATTGTTCTCTTTAAATGGGTCAGGATAAATATCATCACCTGAATGAGCTAATAAAACGTGACTTTGTAGAGAAATGATATTCATTTCAATCGGTTGATTACTTAGTAATGAAAATGATTACTCTAATATGATTAGCCGGTTGATTTCCATTTAAAGCATAAGTATTTGATTATTTACCTTTAAAAAAAAATAGTAGACGGAATTGAGGAAAGACTGATTGATGGTCATTAATATAAGGGGATATGAAGTTGACATTATTTCAGACCAGTAGTTTTTTGTATCAATTCATTAAGAATTTCATTCACTGTGACGTGATGTTATTTCAGGTCAGTATTCTTGAGGGTGAGGAGAGTTAACTCTACCTCTCGAAATGTTCTAACATAGTCATGAGTATACAGCCACCATCACAGAAGTACTACTCACCGCTTTCACGTAGTCAGGGTGTTGTTTACCGAATTGAAAAGACGAAAAGCAAATATCCGGAGCTTTAGCCTGGTTAGTGAATATAGATGATCCACATAGGGGAGTTCGAATACCCTGATTCCAAACCAATGATGCACATGGGCTCCAGGATCCTAAAGAAACAAATGGCGTACAAGCCAATTGTTGGTCACCGGCTACCAACAGACTGTATCTCCTGACGTTGCTCCACTACCTTGTGAATCAGAACTTTAGGTCGAAGGTTTGGGGAGTGGCTCCCTAGGAAAACCACCTGCTTCGGTCTGAGCACTCGTACAGCATCACAGCCCATACACAAATCAAATGAAGAAGTATCACGCATATCTATTTGTTGGCTCCTTGTACCTATGTTTATATGTTCAAATAAATAAACTAAATGAAGCGTAAATAGCGACTTACCATTTATTATGAAGTCGAAATTGAAAAAAATACTAAAGCAAACTCATCAACATTTAGCAGTTTTAGGTTCAAAATTCCATTTTGGGCTCCATCAGGTGACTTTGTTAATTGATACTGACTCGATTTTGTACATATTTAAATCTTCAAAAGGTGTACCCATTGTGGAGCAATTGTAGATATGATTTATACATGTAGTAAAGAACAAAGTACTCAAGACATTGCCTTATATTACACCACTTGTTACTGGCAGGTTGTCCTATGGGGAGTGTTAATCATAATTAGTCGATTCCAGTTATTGAGAAAATGAATTAGACCGTGCCAATGTGTAATGTGTGATTCCATAAGATATGAGTTTGCTAATAAGATGCTGATAGCTAAAAGCCTCGAAAGTCTTAGAAACCTATGAGTACGGCAATAAAACTAGATTTATGTGACTACGCTCGGTAATGACAAAATTAAGGCGACAAATCATGCAAGATCTTGATCTAGGTGGAGTGTGGTGTTAATTAGCAACACGTTTTTCAGCAGCTGAACGATCAGACATTTCGTCAAGCACACATTTTTATGATTCTAGAAATAGCTGAAGTAATAATCATAGACTTTTAACTGCGTATTTCTGTTTTGTTGCCACATATCAAGCATGGTATAGTATGTTTAATTTCCAGTGAGTTAAGATAGAAATCTATTATCCGAATATCAATTACTCATTATATAACATTATCAATGTGCTGAAAAGACTAATTTAATTCATTTTTGTTTGCGACTAGGATATCTGTTTGATGATTTGAATTGGTGTGATAAAACATTAACAGGTATGACAAACTATGGGACTTCATGTGGATGCGATCGTAAAATTGTTGTTCGGGCTTATTGGGAAAGTGCTTCGGCTGAGGTATGTAAGAAGTAATTCTCTACCTATTAACATAGTGTTATTCTACATACCACAATAGATTTGCATTAAATAGTGCAGCATTAATTAAAAACTATGTCACGTCTAATAAAATAATTTCGTATGAGATTCTTTAATGATCTGATGCTGAAAATCGTCAAATGAGTATTAAGTTTTTTATGATGATTGCACCAAACTATCTTCAGCGTCTCCTTTCTTTTTAATCCGAATGAAACGTTAATCTAATTTTTTGATATCGCGATATGTTTACACATTCGTAATATAGAAAATGTCATATGAATAATTACATGTTATCAAATTGAAAGTGATAGTCAGTAATTGTTAGGGTGTGTTGTTTTTAAATCTAGTTTGGAGCTTGGAAAAGAATTTTCTTTTATAGAAAATATCGTTTTAAGTAAGACTTCGTAAATGAGGCGAATTAATTGCTTACGGATAATTATAACTCGTAAATCATATTCAGTGCAAATCAAACTACTGACATAGAAGCTATGTGTATGTATCAGAAGTAATTAGCCAACAGATTGTTCTCTTTAAATGGGTCAGGATAAATATCATCACCTGAATGAGCTAATAAAACGTGACTTTGTAGAGAAATGATATTCATTTCAATCGGTTGATTACTTAGTAATGAAAATGATTACTCTAATATGATTAGCCGGTTGATTTCCATTTAAAGCATAAGTATTTGATTATTTACCTTTAAAAAAAAATAGTAGACGGAATTGAGGAAAGACTGATTGATGGTCATTAATATAAGGGGATATGAAGTTGACATTATTTCAGACCAGTAGTTTTTTGTATCAATTCATTAAGAATTTCATTCACTGTGACGTGATGTTATTTCAGGTCAGTATTCTTGAGGGTGAGGAGAGTTAACTCTACCTCTCGAAATGTTCTAACATAGTCATGAGTATACAGCCACCATCACAGAAGTACTACTCACCGCTTTCACGTAGTCAGGGTGTTGTTTACCGAATTGAAAAGACGAAAAGCAAATATCCGGAGCTTTAGCCTGGTTAGTGAATATAGATGATCCACATAGGGGAGTTCGAATACCCTGATTCCAAACCAATGATGCACATGGGCTCCAGGATCCTAAAGAAACAAATGGCGTACAAGCCAATTGTTGGTCACCGGCTACCAACAGACTGTATCTCCTGACGTTGCTCCACTACCTTGTGAATCAGAACTTTAGGTCGAAGGTTTGGGGAGTGGCTCCCTAGGAAAACCACCTGCTTCGGTCTGAGCACTCGTACAGTATCACAGCCCATACACAAATCAAATGAAGAAGTATCACGCATATCTATTTGTTGGCTCCTTGTACCTATATTTATATGTTCAAATAAATAAACTAAATAAACTTCAGAATAATAGACTACAATATTAGACATTTAATACATATTGTATGGTGTGTGCTACCTATACGGGCAGTTATAAGCAGTATGCATCAAGAATCGAAAGTGAGATTTTTACTGACAGGAGGGGAACATGAAGAGAAGAGACGGAATGCCAGAACAGCCCGAGCAGCAACAGGAATGAAAGAACTATGGAGCATGTAAGCGACAATTCAAGGAAGATGTGCAAATGGTGTATTCAATGTATTGCCTTCATATTTTAGAAATCCAGTGTAATTTTGCTTAGCATAGTAAATTGGTTTATCCCATCCAAGTCTTCGTTCATTATAACCGTGCACATCAAATGAGACAAGAAAATTACTCAACAATGCCAATGTCAAAGTATTTTTTAGAGCATCCGAAACACTACAAACCAACTGTGTTCATGTATAAGATAAAATACCAAAAGATTCGCGGCCTAATTGTGTCTATGAAATAAATTGTTTAGACCTTGATACAATATAAATTGAATAAAGTCCTTGAGAAATCAACACAAGAACAAATGAATATTGTATAGCTCCTGCTCGACCACCGTAAAATCTGATGGAGCTCGAAACACTTAGAACCTCTTCAGCCATGGGTCTGTACGCTAAAATATCAAGTCACAAGATTGATTTTGATTCACTGAGATCATACATAGAAATTTTAAAAATCACAACCAAAGACTCATAGCAAAAAGGCTTCACACAAAATGGAATTCAGATTGGCTGAACAGAAATGAGAAGATAAGCTAAAATTTGATTTGGCTTCAACACGCTCCTTCCAAAAATTAACATTTACAACAGAAATGTAATAAGAAAATTCCTCATATCATAAACATATACTGTTTCTACAAATGATACGTTTACTAAATCTAACAATCTACACATATCTGCTATCTTCACCAATTCGTTCACTTGAAGATGAATAATTGTTTCATATTGAAGAACTTTGATCAGGTTGTCATATACAGGCTGAGATTTCTGTAAATTCTGTTTTTCTACTACTCTTATGATGCTATTAGCATTGAATAGTTGAATGCTAGCGAAAACATTTTTGTTTTTTTCTTCGAAACCATTGAAAAATACAACTTCTTAATAATAATGAACGTATCTGTGGTGTTCAGATCCATATGAATATCAACTATTAACGTAGTTAAATTCTGAGCAGTCAAAAGATTCATAACTGATTTGAAGTTGACATATTTAAGCGTTTGGAAGTTTTAATGGGTAAAGTGTATCAAGATCATAAAATTGAAACTAGATCATTTGAAGACTGACTTGTATGATTAGGATAGTATTATTGGTCTAACTAAGTGACCTGTGTAAATGTAACTGACGCTTAACACATGAGTGATTTGGTCTTTTGGTTTACATGGTATGTGGTTTGACAATTCATCTGGTGTGTGTCATATTTTATTTTCTAAAATCTTCTAAGTAAATAGGTTAACGTTTCTAAGCTATTCGTGAAACGTGAATGGAGTATTCTTCTCTCGATTTTCTCCAGTGGTTTTCATTATCTTTTACCAAAATTCA